ATAAATTATAAAATAATTTTATTATTTTCTAAAAATTATATTTACAATTTATATAAATAATATTTATTTGATTTATATAAATAAGTATATATATAATATTATATAATATAATATTTAAAATAAAAAAACCAATTCTTATATTTTTGTAAAAATTTTTGTTGCAAAGAATTGAACATTTCTATATAATTACTATCCAAATCTAATTCAAAATCTTGTTCAATAAAATTAATAAGATTATTAATATTTTTGATTGCTGAATCAGATTTAACCTTTTTTTGTTGAACAAAATCTATAATATTCTCATTTGTAATATCTAAATTTTCAAATGGGTCATCAATTACAATATAATTATTTATATTAAGAATATCTTCATGACTATATGAAAATTAATTAATCAATTCTTCCATTTCTTCTAAATTATATTGTTGAAATGGAATTACTTCTCCAATAATAGTACTATTAGAAACAAGAGTTTGAGAATCATCTATTTCTTGAAGAATTTGAGAAAAAGAAATAATATCATATTTTTTTAACAATTTGAAATAATATTATAATTAATATTATCTTAAGCTTTTGCAATTCAATCTATTGCATATTTGATATTAATATTTTTAGGAATTATTTCAATACTATATATCAAATTAAATTGATCCATCTTAAATTTTATCAACAATATTCTATATTGTATCTATATAAGTTAAGTTTAATTAATATATTTAAATATTAAAATTATAAAATTATTATATTTACTTTAAATAAATGAATAATTCCTATATTCATTGATTATAAATGTGCAGTTATGTTGGCAGATAGTGGATATAATGAATCTTTTAATTTCAAATTATTATCATTACAATAAGCAGGTGTCTAGTCATAAAAAAGAATAATGAATCTATTATTTTTTTTTATTTGATTATTTAAATGAATTAAGAATTCATTTCAAATTATAGTAGTCATTTAAGTAGTTTTATTCCAATAGTAACTAACTGGTAAGTCTTCTTTCTTGGTTTTGTTTAAAATTCAAGGAGATTTAAAATAATGATTCACCAAAGGTTTTATTTGTATAGAGCCTAATAAAATATATAAATATATAAGTATATAAATTTTTGTAAAAAATATAATCTTTTAATATCTATAAAATTTACACAAAAAAGAATTGTAACCTTTTGTTTGTCTTTTTTTTTTTCCATAATTGTTTTTTTTGCAAAAGATTTCGAGGGTTCCATTTTCTAATAAAAACCAGTTTCATTATAATTAAATATGTTTTCCAAAAGCCAGTTTTTTAATAAAACTTGCAAAGTTTTTCTAAATTTGAAAAGTTTTTTTAAAAGAGCACATCTCCTTTTCCATGATTACAAATTGCTTCAAGTTGATTCTTTTTTGAAAATTTGTTAATCATCTTTCTGATGTATTAAAATTAAACATATTTAATAATTTTGTAAATTTCTGAATCTAGTATGTCAAAATAAACCCAGTAATAATTAAATTGATACTTAATGTATTAGCAATCCAAATCATTAATGCTTTTTTAAGCAAAAGATACTTGAGACTTTTTTTTCTTTTTTTTTGAGCTTCAATAGAATTAAAATCAATATTAAGCCAATGTTCACTATTTTTCAAAATTTTAGATACTGTACTAAGACTGATATTATATTTTCAAGTCAAAGTTTTGTTTTTAAGATCAGGATGTTTTTGTTTTAATAAACATAGTTCATGTTTTTAAATTCCTTTCAAGATATATTTAGGAAATCTAATATTGTGTCTCATTTTATTTATAAATTGATTGGAAATTTTTTTTAAAAATGGAATTAAAGTTTTGGAAAAAAGAATTTGATGGATAGATATGAAATATATGCATATATATAAAAATAACAATTATTCATATCCCCAAAATTGATTTGAACCTCAAAAATAATTATAATAAAATTTTTGCTATTTTTTTTAATTATTTTATTAATTTTCTTATAAAATATTAAATTATTATTATAAGGTATAAAATATAAGTTTTAAAAATTTGCGGAGATTAACTTTCATCGGAGCTACGATAATCACGTGGTTCACGTGATTTAGGTAAATCAAATGGGAATCATACCTAGGGTTTCTTTTTACGATAATCCTATCCAAATGTGGCACTCAAACATGACAAAATATAGTATTTGACATACATTTTCTTTTATCGAGAGTTGACCGTAATGATAATTTGAGTTATCAATCTTGCCCAATAATGGTAAAACACCTGATTTAAAAATCATATGGTAACATTTCACGTGAATGGCGCCTGAAATCTAGCTTTAAACTTTATAAAGATGTTAATCATATTTTTTTGCTAAAGAAGCGATAACGAACTATGGCGTAATTATTCACGTGAACATTTGAAAAAAATTCAAATACACGAGGCCTTTCTTTACCCTGGCTTGATACTGTATACAGGACACGATGGCTACTGACGTTTCTACTTATCAATTTGTAAGATTCACATTAACAAATGGAATTCTCTAAAGCGAGTAGTGATTCATTCAATTCATGCGTTTCTTTTCAAAACAATACCTACCAGAATCACACCATGATTAGAATAAGGGACCCAAAGGTCTCGATCAAATTCTACGAGGAGATTTTAGGAATGAAGTATTTATCTAATTTCCAATTACATAAAGATCTATTATTGAACCGCGTCATTAGTAATCATTTCTGTTTTCACACTCGTAAAGACTTATCAGCAAATTGGAATTTCCCGAGGGCAAGTTTACTCTCTACTTTCTTGCCTATGTACGTGAACCCTTGCCTGAATCCGAAACAGAAAGAAGATCTTATGCTTTTGGAAGAGAAGGAGTATTAGAATTAACTCAGTGAGTAAAGTTTTTTTGCGATATATAAATTGATTGATTACTTGATTATTGATCACAACAATAGCAACGAAGATCCAGATTACGTTTATGATCACGACAACACGGAACAGCGCGGATTCGGTCACATTGCGATTGGCGTAGACAATATTGAAGCAGCTTGTAAACGGTGAGAGTATACGTCGAATTTTGGAATGATTCCTAGTTTTTCTCACTTTAACGATTTTTATTGGTGCATTAGATTTGAGGAATTGCAAGTTGAGTTCACCAAGAGACTGCAAGACGGTAAGTAGATCTATTCTTACAAGCATGTGATGCGGTGTTTTGGTTTGAGTTCTTATTGATGTCAATGGGAAATCCTTAAAGGCAAGATGAAGAATATCGCCTTTATTAAGGATCCGGATGGTTATATGATTGAGATCATTCAAAAAGGACGTGATGTGAAAAAGACAGAATTATTAGGAAAAAATGATGCGTAATATACTGTAAGTGAATTCGGTGATTACCTATAACGCGAGCACGATTATATGCTAAAATGCATTGATGACGCGGAGGTAAAATATTTGACTTTGAAATAAACTGATCGATCAATTAAATTTGGACAATCGTTAATTATCGAACGAAGGATTATTACAATCAAATTGATTGATTTTGATTGATTGGTTGATTATTCTTTCCGAGGTTTAAGATGCACGTACAGTATACTATAAGTGTTAACGATCGTTCACAAATCATAAGTGTTTTACACATTAAAGGTATTATCACAGCATGAGTGATGACAATTTAATCTTGAGTTACTGAAAAAATTTTATGGTAAAGTGACAAATGCGACATAAAACTGGGATGTCAAGGATTGATTTTGATTCAAATTGGCAATTTTATAGTTATCGTGTAACTAAGGTTAAACTTAAATATGTAGCAGCTCAAAATTAGTTTATAATTATGTATTTAAAATTTTCAAATTTATATACAATATAATAAATATTATTTAATACTTATGCCATTTTTCATCAATAGTCAAAAAAGATTTATTTGACATAATATGATTCGTACAACATTCATAATAATAATAATAATTTAACAAATGTATAACGTAAAAAATAATCAATTATTTATTAATATATTTTGTTTATACAATTTGATAAAAAATGTTTATTTAATATAGTTTAACTTAGACCACTTCAAAAAATTACGATAAAGTATCTTAATTAATTAATTAAAAAATTTTTTTGATTTTTTTCAATCTGCGATTAAATTAATATGATTAATATAACTTATTTTTATTATACTGTATATTACATATATAATATATTTATAATTTATATAATTTTTATTCTTGAACCTTAAAAATTAATATAATAATTTATTGCTATAAATTTTTTTAAAATTTTGTTTATAAATTAAAAATCAAATTATTTGTTTTTTTTTTAAAAAACTCAATTTTTAATAATTTTAAATAAACTTTACTTGATACTATTTTATGAAAATTTTTCAACTCTTTTCAAATAAAATAAGATAAATTATTTTATTTATAAATTATATTATTTTTTTCATTAAATTTGTTTATTGAATTTTTAAATATTTATTTTTTAATTCTTTTAATAATATTAATTTTGATTTTATTTTATTTTTATTTTTTTTTAAACTATAATTATATTATTACTCATTAAAAAATATTTATTCAACATAGTATCACTTAATTAATAAATTAATAATAAACAAATTATCAAAAAAATTTTTAAAAAATTATTATTATTTATTTTAACATTTTTTGAAATTTTAAAATTTATATATTTATTGAATTTTTATTATATATTATGTTTACAATTTAAAAGAATTATGATTAAATTTATTGATTTAAGATTCTATATTTAAATAAAATAAATTAAAAATATTGTAAATAAGGATTATATGATATATTTATATCTAATTAATTAAAATTTAATATTTTATAATTTAATATTCACATTGTTTTTAAATTTATATAAATCTATTTTTTACTAAATTAACAAATTTATACTATTACATAAGAATTAATTAACATTTAATAATATTATTCAAAAAAATTATTAAATATATAAAAAGGAATTAAAAAATTTTTTATATACAAATTAATATTTTTATTATAATTTATAATATCATACTAGTTAAAATTATGTTATTCAATAGCCAAATTATTGCTGAATTTGATAAAATTTAATAATAAAAACATCTATTAATCATTTTCAATTACTACCACTTGATATTAAAAATATTAACAAAAAATCAGCAAAAAAATTTCAATGTATTATGACAAAAAAAATTTGGTACCAAAGTGATAAAAAAAAATTTTTGTATATTATGACAAAAAAAAAATTTTTTTTTTGTATATAATAATAAAAAATTCGACAAAAAAATTTTTATTGCAACAAAAAATTTGAAAAAAAAATTGATACTGTAATAAAAAATTCAACAAAAAATATTGTGATAAAAAATTTAACAAAAATTACAAATACAGTATTAAAATTCAATAAATATTCAAGAAGTTTAACAAATTTCACGAAATTTATTAAAAATTATAAAATAAATTAATTAAATTATTCAACACTTTTCTTTTCCTCCTCTTTCACTTATTTTTTTTTTCTTTTTAAAGATTTTGATTTAATTTTTTTAAAACTAATCCCAATTAATTTTATCTTGACTATCTCTTGAATTTGCCTATTCGAATACTTTTTTCAATTTGTTTCTTACTCTCTGAATATATTAATAATTTCTCATATTCAATAATTTTTCATTTTTTGGATTTAATTGTCAATTTTTTATCTTTTTCTATCTCTTTTTCTTGTTCACATTTTGAAATCTCTTCTAAACCATATACTCAATTCAATAAATCTTCTGGAAATATTATATCATAAAAATATAAATTATCACAATATCATTTATAAGTCTGCTGAAATGCTTAAATTAATTTCAAATGTTTATCCAAATATTTCAATAAATTCTTTAACTATAAATAATTATAATTAATATTGTAATTATTTGACATAAAATATTTTGTTAAAAAATATCTTTTCAAAATATTAATTATAATTATATATATTTATTCTTCTTTTAATAAGGTTTTCTGAATTAATATCATTTTCTTTAATTATATTAATTAATTAATTCTGATATTTAATAACTTTCTTAGATCTTCATTCAATAAATAACTGTTTGCTTTTAATTTTTTGTATACTTTTTTTAATTATTCATTAAAAATTAATACTTGAAGGTAATATAAATATAAAATATTATTAATTTTACTTCAGTTAATTGGCTATTTGCATGTAAGTAACAATTGTCCACTTTCAGTTTTTTAATTTCTATCTTTTAATATCTTTATTTCTAATAGTAATATAAAAGCACTTAACTATTTATTTGTTTTTATAAAAGATTAAAATGTGAGATCATGGATTTTATTAATTTTTCTATTAACTTTTGAAATATTTTTTTATTTACATCACTTGAAAAAACTTTGTTTATTCTTAGTTTATATTTATTAGAAATAATTTTCATTAAGATCTTTATTTTTGCTTTCACTTCTTTTAGTTTCAGCTCATTTTCAATAACTGGTTTTATCAGATTTATTTTTTTACTACTTTTCCTAGATTAAATTCTTCAGTGCTTTCCTAAACTTAACAAATTTCATATTTTGATATTTCAGCTGCTCTAAATTCTACAATTAATATAGAATTAAGTTCAGATTTCATAAATTTGAACTGATCAATTTCTTTTTTTAAATCTTTTATTTCATTTTTTGTTGTTCTGATTCTTTGAAAAACTTGTTAATATATTTCATTAGATTTAATTGTTTTACAAATTTGATATTTTTGCTTTCTAGTTTTTTGACTTGTTTGTGTAATTCTTTATTTTTTAAATAAATTGATTAATTAATAAAGATAAATTTTAATAATTCAACAATAATTTAATTCTAACCTTTTTAATAACTTTTTCTATTGATTCTCTAACTATATACAAAAAAGATATTCATAAAAAGTTTTATACTTTCTTGTTAATAAAGCCTTTATACTTTCATTAAAACAATTTAAAGTTTGTCATTTCTTATTTTATCTACCCTTCCTTATTTGTTTATAAGCCCTTTTGAATAAAAACTTGGATCTATAGTGATCTGAATAGACTCAAGTATATATTTTTTCTATTAAACGCAAAAAGATTCTAGGAAGTAAAAGAACTGACAAGTAAAATGTCACCTTACAGAGTTGAAAGCAACAAAAAATAGAGATTTTATTGATAGAAAAAGGTTTATTATTTACTTTTTCATATACTATCTTGTATTCTCTTAAAGTATCTACTGTTTTTCACAATTTTCTTGAAGAATTTTACCTATCTCAATTAAATTTTGAATTTCTGATAGTAAAATGTTATCTGGCATCTGATTGGTTAATACAAAACACATTAATAACTAAATATAAACAATTTTCTACTAATCATTTCATATATTCTAATAAGATTATTGATGATTGAAAAAGTTGATTAGTATTCTATATCTATTTCACTTTTTCAATTGGATTAACCTATAGATCAAGTTCTATAAAGTCAATAATATATGAGCAACAAGTTTTAAGATAGTAAAAAAGCTGCTATTTATTCAAATTGAGATCTTTCTTTTTTATTATCCCAATCAAGCAAAGTTCAAAATCAAGATCTTCTTTTTATCCCAGTCAAGCAATAAAATTGAATAGTCTCTAGTCCATACTAAGCTCCAATTCTTTGATTATAGTTGAAAATATATTTCCTAGAAGTTGTTAAAGGATATTATAATCAATAAAAATTCCTATAACTATTCAAAACCCTTCTACCATTACAAACAAAATAATTGTTAAGAAATCGAATCTTTTGAATAATTGAAAATGTATATCAATAAAATTCCTTTAACTAGATATGACTATTAAAAAGTATCATATTGAAATAATATGACTCAATTTTTACTAAGTCATATAAGAACCTAGGATTCAATATAGGTTGATTCTTTATTGCAGGTAAATAAAAAATCACTATATAAAGAAGGTTAGAATCAAGTATGTTCTGGAAGTAAAAGCTTCTATTAGATGACAAGTCTTCTAAGATAATAGATAAAAAGAAAATCAAGATCAAGAATAGATAAATTCCTTAAACAATTAAAAAAAGAAAGAATATTTCAATCAAGTATTTCTTTTTGAGAAAAGGTCTTGAGAAGCAGGTTTTTAAAAAACACTAGAAATTTTTTTTAAATTTTTATTTTTTTTATTCTCTTATTGTTTATTTAAATATTTTTAAATATCTTCTTTTCACTTTTTTTAGCTCATTCTTTTGTAGTTTCCTATATTCCAACAGCTTGGTTTGATATATAACAATAACAACTTGCTGAATAATATAGTAGACTAGGTGAGTTTTTATTCAAAGAAACTGTGAAACAAAATATTGTCTCAAGATTAAACTTAAAGACTTTTATATATATATA